AGGTGGTGGAAGATATTGATGACCTATGAATTTCTTCAAAATTACAAATAGATTCCATATCGATATTTTTTTTAGTGTTTTTGGACAATGTTATATTTTGAAGAAAGTGTAATGCAGGATTTAACATATGTGTAAGAATAATTTCTTTTCTATCTTGACTTTCATTTTTTACAACAAAAAGAAGCCAGTTCGCTAATGCTATGAGTATTTTATCAGAATCTTCATCATGCAATTTATCATTTTCACAATTGAATTTGGGTTTTCCTGATCCATTTTTTCGATGAATATGCCCTCCATTGATTTCAAAACAGCTGCAACATATGTATCGGGGATCTGAAAATTCCTCATTAGCTAAATTTGATATATTCGTACATATTTCAAGTGCATTACAACTGAATTGTCCATTGCAAGCTACTTGTATATTTCTATTAAAGATGTTCCAAGAATGTTGGCGGCAATTCATTTCACGACTAAAAAAGTAAAAATTTTTCTCACAAAAAAAACACCTTCTTCGATGTATTATACTTTTTTCCGTTTTTCTTATTTGTTTAGCATGACTTATATGATTTTTTTGATCATAATTAAAATGCGACATACACACTCCTAAATTAACCTTCCCATCCAAAAATTTAGCCGCAACACTTGTATCTATTTGCCAAGTTCCTATTAATTGAGAAATACATCTTTTACTATCATTACCGCATGTTTGTAATTTTCCATCAATTATGTCAACAATAGCACATGGTAAAAGGGAAGTTGACATTTCGTCCATAATGTATATTTCATTTTCAAGTGATTCAGATTTATTTTTTAAACTTTGCTCATTATTATCGTCAATTTCATCATCACTACTTGAATTATATTCATTTATTTCTTCACTTCGAACAGTTTTATGTGCCTGCAAAAAATTTTAGATGTGAAAAATATTAGATTGTTTGTTTGATTCAGCGTCTAATAATATTGAATTTTGGTTTATCAATTGTTCTAAAAATGTTTCATCATATTCTAGCTCTTCTTCTGAATTGTTATCACCTAAAAATTGCTCAAATAAAATATTATTATCGTCTATAGACTTTGAAAAGCTATTCATATTGAGATTGTAAAAGTTTATTACAGAAATTAGGTGGTTTTGAGTACCTGTGATTCTTTTCTTTGACAAGAAGTATAAAATTAAAAATACTTGAAAATGATAGATTTTGATCTCATCTATCGGGAAATGTACTCAGATTTTGTAATACAAAAGATTTATTTTACATAAAAATAAAATGAAGTTAGCGTATTTTTTAAATTTTAGGCCGGCACTATAAATTCGACCAGAGTTAAGAAAATTTTGGCCAAAATTATAATTTAAAGATCAGTAATTTTAATCAAAAAAGAAAACTTTGGCTAGTTTAGAACTTTACATATATACTATATATCTAAAGACCATGCTATGTATGAAATTTAAATTATGATATCATAGTATAAAAAATTTGCCTACTAATTTTGTGACATGCACATCGACTGTTATACTATGTCTGATGGGTAAATCAACATATGATTATATACGAATAATTAGTAAAAATATTTGTGCATGGGAGGTGAAAAAAAATTTTGGCCGTATCATTGTTAGACGTATTATCTGATCACGGAAAGGATACCGTGTAATTATAATTTTTTATAGGATTGGTAGTGTAGAGGGTGGACGCTATAATCGTATATACGATCACAGTCAAATAGGTTATCGATAAGGATAATTTCGTAATGTAAAGAAAATAGCTGATATTGTTTTCGGTAATCGAAACACTAGTACAAGTTAATATAAATGCAGTTAATAACATCAAGCATTTGACTACAAATACCAATACCAATAACAATATTCGACTACCAATATCAATGGATGCAGAAAAATCATCACTAGCGGGATTGCGGTAATTGTTTTTTAGTAATCGAACAATCTCTGATATCCAATTATTCTACTATCTGTTATTATTAACACCATTTTTTGTAAATGACATTGTTGATGGAGAGGGTAATGAGCGACAACAAAAATACAATATAATTATATCATTGAATACTTGACTAAATATTCCAAGAATTATTAATCTTTTGTTGATCATTTTTGCCAAGAAAATTCCCAGAAAAAGTCTAGTCGAGGAAGTAGTTCACTTTGTTGATAAATCACAGTAATTTAATGTTTCTAAGAACAGAGATGAGAAATCATTCAACAATTTGCTAGATAGTAGTCAACGACAGAAAACAATTAATAGTCCTGCAGATAACACGTGATACTCTAATCCCAGGAACCTAGGTTCCTAGAACCTCCTCTGTTAAAAGCGTGGTTGAGCGGCAAGACGGTCAGTTCAGAATGTCACATGGTAATGGCGTAGATAAAAATAGCTTTACCAATGCATAGCATAACCATTAATACGAACTAGCAGCATTAATAGTTTAAAAAATTTTAGCGCAAATGGTTGATCAATATCATAAACTTCTGCAATTCAGAAACGATAGATGCTTCAATAGAGAAGTCAGCAAAACATTCTTGTTAGGGATAGTAACTATTCTGAAAGAGTATTACAATATCTATACTTAAAGTGTAATGTAATCGTTTCATAGTTTCGGCGGTAGTATGTATACTGTGGAAGACTAATAATTTTATTGATTTGTAAAATAAGTAAAAAAAATAAATACGGTAATATGTTATGTGCGAGATGAAAAATAAAGTAAGCAGTTGTTATCTTCTTTTTTACATCGATATGTTAATGTTAACTGTGATCGCTACTTCCTCATGTATTTCTTTGGAATATAGTTTGTGAAACTATGAAATAGTTTGCACTGCCACTGATTTTTGTTCTAGTTGCTATTCTTTGATTAATATATCATTTCCATGGGCCTTGATATCACAAGACAAAAATTGCTTTCTATCGTTGCCTATTGGTAATCTGATATTCTGACTACATAATTATAATAGAACAACGTAGGAGAAGTAATTTGTCCTTTCGTAATTACATTGACCTCCAATTCTATTACTCTACGATATCCCAAATATGATTTTTTTGTAATTACAAAGTGTCTGGATAAGTTAGCATTTTCATGACTTAGTTATTTTATGTGGGCAAACGTTCTACTTTTTTCAAAGAAAGATTTACTTTACAACCTAAGACTTCTATGGTACAAGTCTCTATCATGTTAGTGCCCACCATGACTAGCGTTTCATTAAGTTTCAATAACTTATACCATCAAGAACAAGAATTCAAACAGTGGCATAATCAAGGTATTCGACGATCATACGCTAACTAGCTATTGGCAACATGAATCCAAGATAATGACTGTCATGACACATTCTCGAATCCCCGTTTGAAAAGTGAGTTACAATAACTTTCTTGTTATAACATGTCCCGAAATTAACCAGCCCTTACAGTGCCCCCTTTGTCACTGCCTTTTCTTCGAAAAGTCCGTTGTACACAAGTAAGAATACTAGTGTCCATCTTTGAGCGACCAGGTAAATAACAGGAATGCCTGAAGGGCATTATTCCATAATGTAAGTAAGGCAATAAACTCATATATGTATACATATTTTTTTAATTACCCTCGTAGCCAAAGTTAACTGAATATTGCCATAATTTCTGTCTTGGCTGGTCTTACGATATACTTAGGGATGGGCGTTAATTAACCATGGTTAATTAACTATGGTTAATTAACCGTTAATTATGTTACTTATAATTAGTTTAAAATGGTTAATTAACCATTACTTTAAATCAACCAATAAAAATGCAGAATTTAAGTCATGTGATTTTAATTATAATTTGATAATTATTGGTAAAAAATGGTATAGTCTGTGATAGTGATAATAGTACTATACTTGAATTTGAATCAAATGTAATAAGTTTAGATGATGAAGAATAAATAAAATATATAAGATTTATTATAATCATTTTAATAAATAAATAAATTTAATTGTTTTATTTTATTATTTATAAAAAATTAATATATTAGTTAACTATAAGTTAATTAACCGTTAATTAACCGTTAATTAACCAGTTAATTAACCAAATTTATAATTAACCGTTACTTTCCCATCCCTAGATATACTGTACTTAAAATTATTTCTGTGTGTTATGAAAAGTCAGTATATTACTCTTCTAGTTTACAGTTTTTATTTAACGAATTCTAATACAATGTGAACAACAGAGTTCACAGAATGTGAAAAAAATATTATCAAGTGTCAGACTTTTAAGTATACCACTGTAATAATAAATTTTGAGACATATACGTGAAATATGGCAACTGTAACAATCCTCATCTGTTATACCAAGAATATAAGAATCATGTGCTTTTTTTCAACGAATAAAAATTGTCTCCATTTACTATCACCATTCGATCATTTATCTTTAAGAAATAAATAAATAAATAAAGCATTCGATCATTTTTTAAGTTAAAAAATTAATCATGTAAGAGACAACCTTTGATAATAGTATGATTTGAAATATGTAAACGCAGTACATAGTATTAAATTCTCAAGAGACGAACAGAAGAAATAGAACACCATATTTTATACATTAATTATATTCTAAGACTTAGTTTATTTTGTTTCCAATAAAGAAATACGGTATTACAAAAATTAACTATCAATATGCGATTCATTATACCCTGTAAATTGTACTAATTCATCAGGAATTTAAACACGGCATAATGTTCCGTAAGTTTACGGATTTTCATAAAATTACGTACATTTACGGCATAATGTTCCGTAGATTTACGGATTTCCGTAAATCTACGTAATTTTACGATC